ATGCTCAACCACTGAGCCACACCGGCCAGGGCCCACTGGATGTTATTTTCAAACCTACTTGTGTCAGTCATGTTTGCGACTTCACGGCTAAAAATGGTCAAACGCTAAGTAAGCCGCTTGGTAAAGCTACCGTTTGATGAACTAGCTTTGGGGCTGGGAGGCGCGACATTGGCGTTTAAATGAAGGACTACTTGCCTGAGAGGCTCGTGTTATTGTAGGTTTGCATCCCCGGGCGTCTCTTACTCTGACAGCATCACAGTTTACAGAAACGAGGAGTGTGAGGCCCACGCTGTAATTTTACCGTCTAGTGGCTGTGGGACTCAGGACACAGACTGGCCTTTGTCACGTGTGGCCCAGATGCATCCCACACAATAACAACTCCAGGGCCGGAGTTTGATCGGACCTTGAGACAAGGAACCCGCGGCTTCTCCCAGAATCTTACATGTTTGAGGCGCTCTGGGAGGGCAGTTTTAGGAGGCTCTCAGCCTCCCTGCCTGCCCTCTCTCAGAAGGTTTGGGATTTTTCTTTTTTTTTTTTTTAATGTTTTTATTGATTTTCAGGAAGGGAGAGAGAAAAACATCCATGATGACAGAGAATCATGGATCGGCTTCTTCCTGCACGCCCCCTTGTGGGGACCGACTGCATAGCCTGGGCATGTGCCCTGACTGGGAATCGAACCAGCAACCTCTTGGTGCACAGGATGATGCTCAACCACTGAGCCACCACAGTTGGGCCTGAATTCACTTTAGAGGCAAAGACCAAACCACTCTCCATAGAGATACAGGGACTATGCTAACGGCAAAGCTCGATATGACCGAATACTCGACTGAGAGCTTCTCATTCAAGCCCAGGGCTTCCTGCACTCTGGGAATAAAAGTCTTTCCCAGCCGGTGTTGCTCAGTGGCTGAGCATCCACCTATGAACCAGGAGGTCACGGTTCCGTTCCCGGTCAGGGTATGTGCCTGGGTTGCGGGCTCTGTCCCTGTGCAGGCGGCAGCCGATCGATGATTCTCTCTCATCATTGATGTTTCTCTCTCCCTCTCCCTTCCTCTCTGAAATCAATAAAATAAACAAAAAAAAAATTATTCCATGGCTTACTTACTTTCAACGTAAAAGAAATAATCAACTGTCAAAATACTTAGATGCCACACCGGCAAATGAAATGCATGGAAGAAACAGCTGGATCCTTTAAAGCTCTCGGGAAATCGGAATGCACCATCCCGGCGCGTCCAGGGAGCACACTGCTGCTGGTGGGGTCTGGACCTGCACCAAGGTCAAGGCCCACGCGTTTCATCTACAGACTCGATCCTGAGGGTGGAGAGTCTAAGGAACGGAGGGAGTTCAGAAGCTGTAACCGCCTCCTGCTAAATTATGAAACACTCGTCCGAGGGGCTTTCCACGAAGTGTTGTCCCTATAGACTCCCTGCTGCTTGCACACTGAGGGTTTGTTTTTGAAATTTCCACACCGCTGAAACATTGGCGGCTTTGTTACGGCTCCTTCCTTTCCCATTTCTTTATTTTTAGCTATT